CTTAAGGGACTCTGGTCACCTTTTAGAAGTTTCAGTCTCAAAACTTGCACCTTGAGTTAGGGCCAGAAACTGACCAGGGACCAGCGTAGTTATTTCAGTACTAGAGTAATATGCTCTAGATAGCCCTACAGCTACCATCCTAATGCTGAAATTTATCCTACACATTTTTAGCTATAAACTTCTGTGATGGTTAAGATTTAAGCTCAAGAGAAACAACCAACATTTCCACAAAATGGTAAATCAGGCTAGTGTTGGACTGATGTTGGGAGTCCCAGGCCCCTTGAGGACAAGAAGCCATCGTGCGGAATCAGCTGTACTTTCCCCTCACCTGTCTTCCATTTGCAGGATGTTGGCTGGATACAACTGAAGAGGCTGTATAGCTTTTCATAACACCACACCAAATCAAACTACAGTTTAACTTACCATTTCAAACAGGCAATATTCTTCAGTTTACATTTGCAAATGTCTGTGAAATAGCAGTTTCCAATGAAGTCAACAGTACTGGGGACAGGGAGAAAAATATATGATAATAGTTAAAAATTAACTCATTCATTTCGCAATGTTAGCTATTTAGTCTTCTGATAATCAGAATTCCAAAAAGTGCTAGTCTCCTTCACTTATTTTCATTTACACCTCTGCCTCAACTAATAGTTGCTGTAAGCCACTCCACTGTCAAAACAAAACATAGCTAAACAATCATGTAAATGGGGAATGGATATCATACCAGAGCTTTGACATGAAATCTTTTCTCTTGTATTCCCTTCAAAAGTTGTCAAAGCAAGCTGAATAGCTATCCACTGAAGAACACACTTTAGTGAACCCTTTAAAATTCAAATGCCCATGTCTTAGCTTTTATACGAACACTGTTTTTTCCTAATTAAGATAAGCTGCATTTATTTCAAGTTCCAACACTGCTATGCCAATTTTGCTTGCATTAGTTCCTGTGCTTAGAGGGGAAAAATTTAGTTTTGTGAAGCAGAACACAAGAACATAATAGTTGTTTGTTTATTAAACCTGATGCAAATATTGTGTGATCTAAAGCTATTATTTCTTACAAAAGCAGGGGCATTGTTCATGCTCACAAATGGTTCAGAATACCAAACCACTGCTAATGATTACATCTCATTTTCTCATATCTCCTGTGGCAGACATCCTTGTAAGGGGTCTTCAAATCCATTCTAGCCATCCTTTAAACCAGCACAATTACTTAAAACAGTCTTACCGCTCAACGAGAGGCTTCAGAATTCCTGTTTGTGTTGCAGAAGGCAGACATCAAACATGGATAAAGCTACTTCCAGCACAGGCACAGCTTTAAGAATGCCGGAGTTCAAATCACTGTGATCGTTGCTAAATACATGAATCTGCCTTACACTGGTGTAAGTGTAAGTGATGCTATTCTTTGGATTAATCATCCACCCTACAAAAATGTTGTACTAACTCAGTGACTAATTTTCAAGAATAAAATTTGGCTACCAGTGTGTACATTTACACTATATTTTGAGATTTCGCAGGATGGTTATCGGGACCATCCTTTAATTTCTCAATTTTCCTGGTTCTGTCTCCACGGGATTACCACTGTCTATACCAGTCCATTGCTTAATAGGGGACACTCTTCAAAATGCTTGGCTGCTAATTTTCTAGATGGTCAATCAGATCAAGTATTGGCACATCCTCACCTGCATCATTTATTACCATGATCTGATTAAGTAAAACATAATTAACAAAGAACTGCAGTTAAACAAATAAAGGTCTGATACTTCCTATTAGCTATTGTTTGAACAAAGGTTTGTGGGGAGTTGTATGGGAGATAATGGGATAGCTTGGAACCCTGCCCCATCAACCACTCTAGGATTCTATAAGCTTTCGGGAGCTAGAGAAGGCTGATTTATCCCCCTATCCACAACATCACTTTTTCCTTTAACTGATGCTCAGCTGCTCTCAACAGTCTTTCCCTCTTAGAGTTTTTTCCCCATCTTAATTCGGCTGGGTTTTTAGGGGTCCTTTTTCTTTTGTTTCATTTTCTAAGTCAAATCTTTCTGCGGACCTCAGAAGCCCCTCCCCCCCCCCAAGCCCTTTACTTTGCCTGTGAATGCCTTGGTTTATTGCTTTTGTCATTCACTCAAAGGCCAGCCACTTTTCTTTAGATAAAGTATTGGCTTTTTGACTTGGAGTTTCACCTCTCCAGCAGCCTCTGAAATCAGGATGTAGTCCATATAATGTATTCTTTCTTACCCCATGAACAAAGAATATCCCTTATTTTCCATATTTTTTTCTGACTGGAATGTATTTTTATGTGAAGCAACAGATCAAGCAACATTCTTGGCAGTACTGAGTCTAACCTGTGTGGGTATGCCTTCATCTATTTAACTGATTGGGGCAATAGAAAAGAGTAAGAGTCTAGTAGCACCTTAAATTTGTGGTAGGGTGTGAGCAGTGACTCACGAAAGCTCATACCCTATCACAAATTTTGTTGGTCTTTAAGGTGCTACTGGGACTCTTACTCTTTTCTACTGCTACAGACAGGGCTACCCACCTTGAATGGAGCAATATCGTTGTAATACTGTACTGAAAAGCTTCTGTCCAATAACTGGTTTATTCAGGCCATTCATTATTGTAATGTAGTTTCTGATTCTCATGAAAATGAGGTGCATGGATTCTACTCTCATGTGTGAACATTCCATCACCCTTGTCTTTTTATTTACAGTATTTACATACCATTTTTAAACCATAATAGTTCCAATTCACGACAACACTACCACAGTAGGCTTTAAAAAGGAATTAGACCCCTGAATAGCCCAGGCAAGCCCAGTCTCATCAGATCTCAGAAGCTAAGCAGGGTCGACTCTGGCAACTACTTGGATGGGAGACCTCCTTGAAATACCAGAGGCGGGGGGGGGGTTTATTCAGCCACCTTTTTGACTATCCCCCAGGCCCCCAGTAGGGGTCAGTCACCAGAGACTGCCATGACTTCCACATGCACACACTCACACATGCACGCACACACATATTAAAAATACAAAACCAAAACCAAAAACCAAAAACCAAAAAAAAAAAGGGGGGGGGATCAGACATTCATGGAGGATAGTTCTATCGGTGAGCATGAGACAGTAATTTTTGGAATATCAGTGCTTGGAGGCAATAGCAGGAGAAGCCTTGACCTCCGTGCCCTGTTTTGTTGACCCTCCGGGGCAACTGATTACCCACTGTTTGAAACGGGATGCTAGGGTAGATGGACAACTGGTCTGATTCTTCTTATGTGATATGTATAGTCTACAAATACTAAGCACAAATTACAAGCAAATGTTCTTTAGTCCCCTTCCTAGTCTACCAGGTTTTCCTGCCACCTCCACTGCTCTGGGCAGATAGCATCAACAGCACCCAGCTCTCACATAAGAAGAGATTAACAGGTGTAGAAGATTAAGATGGGTTAATGTACAGTAGCTGAATTAACAGTTGATAAATCCATCTGCCCTGGCAAGAGAATTCTTCTCAATCTCCATGAATCTGTACATATTCCTAGAAGGTCGTTCTTTTGCTTACGAATGAGGTAGTGTGATCATCATCTCATTCCTGATGTGGTACACAGTTTAGAGCACTGAACTGTAAAGACATTCCATTAATTCAAATGTCTTTAAAACTTACTTTTAGGGTTAAAATATGCATAGTACTCTTTCAGTATTGTTCATAGCAAACAGATTCCCTTCCCTCTGAGTGATGTGTTTTAGACAGATCCTCATTTTCTGCCATAGGGAGTTTCTATGATAGACACGATTCAAGCAGAAGGTAGATACTGGTGCTTAACTACTGTGTTGCCAGTTTTGATTTATATTCATAACACAGGAGTTTTTCAATACATTAGCTTTTCCTTCAAATAACCAATCAGTCCTAACAGAACATCTCCATCTGCCATGCTAATCAATTATTACAGTATAAAGAAGCTGATAGTAGTAAGTAATTTCCCGAGGCACTAAAACACGGTTTTTCTTTTTAATGGCTCAGCTTGAAGTATGAGGTTTACTGAATTTCATTACCACACTTCTGTGAAAGCAACAGACAGCATTGGTTCATTGTTCAACAGGACTATAGAAATATCGTTTGTAATCACATGGGATAATTTCAATCCATATCTGTCATTACGTAGAAGTTGCAAAATGGAAGATACAGTTCTGGAGAAAGTTTCACCTAAGGAAACAGCTCTATTATTTGCTTTAAAATATCCCCTTAACCTTCAAGTTACAGCTGACTTATGGCAACCCTGTAGGGTTTTTAAGGCAAGAGACATTCAGAGATGGTTTGTGATTACCTGCCTCAGTATTACACCCCTAGTATTCCTTGGAGGTCTCCCATCCAAATACTTGCCAGGGTCAACTCTCCTTAGTTCAAGATTTAATGACCCTGGGCTAGCCTGGGCTAGCCAGGTCAGGGCTAAAAATACCTTCATTTAGAGTAAATTAATTTGGGTCTTCAAAACATAGCTATGATAGAGGAGGTCAACTGTTTTATCCTGTGTATTTTCAGATTACATTCTATTACTTCCCCCCCTTTAAATTATGTAAACTGAATGGAGAACTGGCTGAATATGAAGTATTAATAATTATCACTGTTAGCCCATGTATTCATAATGAATGCTGAATTGAGCCATCCACAGGCAAGCAAGGGTTATCTGCCTACCCAGGGGACTTCCCAGGTATGGAGAAAAGTATGACTTTATTCAGTAATGAAACAAAACCCTTTAAAAAGCCTGATGTGGACTAAATATACTTCAGAAAAGGGGAGTAATATTGATAGTTAAAAACACACACAACTGGGGGCAGGGAGGAAAGAAATAAGCCTGCGCAAGCCCCTGAGAGCTTGGTAAATCTTGGACAATGAGATTTTGAGGAATGAGGTGGGATTTCCAAACTATTTCCCCCTGTAATTCTTTAAGGCCCCCAGATTATAAATAATAAGTGGGAATCCACAAGGACTTGTGGGAGACATCTCATTCCCCCCTCCCCCACTATTTCCTATTTCTTTTTTTTCCCTTTCCTGAAAGCCCCATAGCATCTTCACTTTGCCTGCTTCCTTATCTCCTCCTAGGGCTGCCAGCCTCCAGGTAGGACCTAGAAATATCCTGGAATCACAACAAATCTCTCAACTACAGAGATCAGTTCCTCCATTAGGGCTGCCACCTCTACCTTGGGAAATTCATGGAGATTTGGGGGGGGTGCTTTGGGAGGGTGAAGTTTGGGGAGGGAAGTTACCTCAGCAAGGTATAATGCCACAGAATCAACCCTGCAAAGCAGCATTTTCTCCAAGGGAACTGATCTCTGTCATCCATGTGATCGCCACCCCCCACCTGGAGGTTGGCAACCTTAGTTCCCCTGGAGGAAATGGTTGCTTTGGAGTGTGGAGTCTACACCGTTATACCCCTCTGAGGTTCCTTCTTTCCTCAAATCACACCCTCCTAGGTCTACCCCCTCCCCCAAATATCCCAGAATTAAAACTGAACTCCAAACAAC